AACCCCAAAACCCCAAAACCCCATCATTAAGAATATTCTAAATTTTAAGTGACTGCATAAATCTAAAAATACATAATAACTTTATTAGAGAAATATTAAAATTAAAATCTTCAGATGAGAAAGGTTATTAGTGCAGTTTTTCATATCTATTTAATCATAGCTTTATCAGAAAAAATAACAAAAGCATGAACATTAAATGAGAGAAGTATAAGTGATGAATTAAAAGGATGCATGCAAATTCTCAAGGATAGAATGATCTAGTACACTTATTCGATAGGATTTAGTACACTTAATTTACGAACAGAAGATATTTTGTTTCTATCCGGTTTCACTAAGTTATGCCTGAGCTAAACTCAATCATAGTTTCAAAAGAGCTACATAAATCCAGCTGCTATTTTTGTTCAAACTAAAAAGAGTTACTCATAAAATTTATTTCAAGGCGAGAAGAATTTAGTGAGAATCTCTTCGAACAAATCAAGTGATGTGGGAGATTATTCACTCATTATAATGATTTTTAACTAGTATAATCAACAACTTATTCAAACTAAAAATATTTAAATCGTAATATTTGATGACATTGAGGACTCAATCAAAATACTACAGCAGTTTCATCCCAAGCCAAATAAGACTGTTTCAGTTAATGATAACTCTAGTAGCAAGGTTGAAGTTATAGAAGCTAAAGTGAGCTCTAATTCGACTAATAAGATCGAAAGTTATCCCAATGATAATGATAATAAAATTGAGGAGAAGTCTAAAGTTTCTAAGCCTAATTACTAATATGATTAAAATAATGATAATAATGACGACGATGATTATAGCAATTTTCCTCAATATAAAATTAACTCTAAGAAAGAATTCTTATATCCACCAGTAATAGGTTGGAAAGAGAATATGACCATAAACTTGACTAAAGGAGAGGTAGTTAAGCTGCATTATCCTTTTCAATCTTATTAAAATAAGAAGTGGCTTAAGATGCATACTATTATTAATCATACTTTAGAATATTGTGATAGCACCAAAGAACTATATAAGGATTCTTTTAGTATCTTTTAAGACTATGTATTTTTGACAGGTGCATATGATTTTTTAGTAGAGATAGTTATAGAATCAGTAAGGTATTCAACCATAATGAAGAACAAGACTTATTCATTAATTGTTAATGTTTAAGATGAAAATAAAATAAATGAAGAAGCACATCATAATGATGGATTTATTGAATCTCAAAGTGATGTAAATTCAGAATTAAATGTAAAATTTGCAGACTAAGAAAATTAAAATGTATCAACTAATCCCCTTGAGTTTTATATATCAACTTATACTTTATAAGGATTAGTCACCGTTACATTTACAATGCCTGTGAAAAAAATTAATGATTTGTAAAAATTATAGCAAGAGAGCATTTTTCATATTTAGCTTATAGATAAAGGAAAAGACTAATTAAGTAAGAATATTCATTTGATTATTTAAAACATAGGTAGCTTTAGAATACTATAACAGTCAGACAATCTTCAAAGCTTTTTTATATAGCTTTACATCAATGAAAACCTATACACTCAGAGTACCTCGAATTTAAAATAGTATACTATGACTCTAGAAATAACTAAACCTGAGGAAATAATCAATAAAAAAACTTAGAAACTCTTAAGTAATTTGGTTAAAAAATAAGTTAAGTTGCTTATAAATACTAAGAGTAAGATTAATCATAATTTAATAATAACAATCATTCAGAGATTTCTTAAGCTTAAAGCATAGGTAATTCACTGACAGCATTAACTAGCTCCTCTATTATTACTACTTTTCTTGTTTCGAGCAGTATGAGTGTAGGCTTGCAATATCTCTGGAGTTATCTAAACACGATTCAAATACTAGGCTTCATGCCCCTTATAGGGTTTGATATGCCTGACTTCCTTGTCATATTCTTTTAGAACATCAATAAATTCAACTTCATGATGATAGATATGGGTGATTACTTAACTGATAAACTAGATCTCAGACCTGTTTCTACAATGAGTAAAAATCCTAATTTTGACACAATTGATATCTTTTGAAATATTGGTCAATTGGATGGATTCATATTAACTCAAACTCACGAATGAACTCGCAAAATTTCATTATAAATTGTACTGACTTCCTTATTATTGTATTTTTTCTGTGCCTGACTTACATGGTTGTAACTTTGATTCAGTTTTTGATTAAGATTAAATTACTCAAAGAGTATATTTTACTTAAGAAATTCGCTGATAAGATGAACAAACTCATGAAATATCAACTGATTATTTGCTTGATAAACTCAACATTTTTGAACATTTTAACTGGAGGTCTGCTTAATTTACTTGCATTTAACTTTCAGACTAATGGAGAGGGATTTTCCTCTATTTTAAGTCTAATTATTACTGCAATTTTATTCTTTTACTTAATGCTAACTGTAATCTACCTTGTGAGATATAAGAATAAACTGGATGATCCATAAATCGAGTAAAAATATGGTGAGCTATATGATGGTTTGAAATTAAAGGGAGATAAGCATGAATAGTTGTACAACCAGCTTATAATGTTGAGAAGATTTTTATTTACTATATTTGTCTTTGTGTTTCAAGATTACAATCTTATTAAATATTGCTTATGTGTTGTCTATCTTGGATGTTTTGTAAGGATTCATTTACTAACCCACCTTTTATTTTTAGTTCTTCATTTATGTGGCTTACCTGAATCCTTTGGAAAATAGAATTCAAAATGGTCTAGAAATATACAATCAACTTATAGTATTTTTGTGCTTCCTATTCTCTGCACCAATGGTTATGAATGATTCTCATCAGGACGATTCCAATTCTGATATTGTTGTTTTCTCAGCCTACATTATAGTTGGATTATTCGTGATGCTTGGAGCTATGAACATTCTATACTAGGTTATTTAAGTTGTGAAAAGTTTAAGATCTAGTTATAAAAAATGGAAGCTTAAGAAAAAGAAGTAAAACTAGGTAGTTCATTTTGATGAGAACACTCAAAAAATTTCTAATTCCTCAATCAAAACTAACGAGGAGTTAACTAATCGAATAGTAGATGACGATTACTCAAATAGAATTCCTGATTCTCTAAAAAGGCTAAAGTCTATATCAATTGGTAATGAGGATGAGAAACAAAAAGAAAACTTGAACGATTCTGGTAAAAATGAGAGCATTGACTTGTCAAAGCTTTATAATTCATTTGAGAATCATTAAGATGTGAAATAAAATAACCGAATAAGGATATCAAATTAAGTAAGGGGATCAATTCTTAAGGTATCAATCTAAGCTTAGCTTTAGGATGAAATAAAAGAAGCAACAGAGGAATATATTATTACTGACACTATTAATAAAAACAGCAATGCACACTATCTTTTAGAAGAAAATCACAAGCCAGTTTAAGCTGACACTAAAATTTAAAAACTTAAAAAGTTAAAAGGAAAATAAAAAAGCCTTAAATCTAAAAAGAAAAATATCAAGATTAAAATTCCAAGTGAAAGTCCTTATGATAAATAATCCCAAGGAAGCACTAGTAAGAATCTTAAGACTCCTAAGAAAATAACTGATTTCACCTAAATGAAATGAATTAAATATAAGTTATAAAGATATTTGCTTTTGTACAATTTTGTTTTATTCTAGATTTTATGATTTCAATGATATTTAGATTTAAGGGGTTTTGGGGTTTTGGGGTTTTGGGG